AAAACTCTATCCAAGAGGGAAGTAAAGGGGAGACTCGGGAAGCATCCGTGTAACAGTGCTGTTTGTGCTCACTGATGCAAGAACACTATTGTCACCAGAGATGGTCAGGCTGAATCATGGATCCTAAATCCTTCTTCCCATTCTGGCCAAGCCCAGCTGTACCCATTGGTCATCTCAAGAAGATGGCAAGAAACTACTTCATAGTCAACAGAGAATGAAGAAAGGGGCATGAGACAATATCTTTTGCAAAGAAAAGAGATGCTTCCACATGAAATTAAGATCTTGTATGGTTTCTCCTGGCTTACCATAGAAGGTTACAGCGGTTTTCTTACTTTACCAGAAAGGTAAGTCATGGGTCTGTGACACCAGACAATAGGGAGATAAGGTGATCTCCATACTTTTGGCACCCAAGAGCACCCCTGGTTTTGTTTACTCTTATCATGTCTAAATTGTAGTTGTGAATGCTAATCTCTTTAGTCTTCAAGGAACCGTGGGCTGTAGAATTGTGTTTTTGCCCTGAGTTTATTTGACTGAGTTCTATTGGCTGGCATGTTGCATCTCCTATGCCCTGAGCCACTTATGTGTAGATATGCATGTCATGTTTGTCTAGTGATTGTATTTTAGGAAAGTAGAACTTGGCAGGCAGGAACTTTTCTTTCACATCAGGACTAAGGTTGTTTGTAGAGGCTGCTGATTTGCCTGCATCACCAGGATCATATTAGATAGTCTCTTCTGAGTCCTTTCAGTAAATTCTAATGACATTGTTCTTTAGATGTGATTACTCATTTCATTGAAGCATTCAATGGGTGTGAGCAGGGCTGCCACACAACGATGATGTTTTATTTATGTGGAGTAGCTCGTGGGTGGGGTCAGGAGCTTGCTGCCCAAGCAGTGCACAGGGTTACACAAACATTGTACTGCTTCTTGAAGATCAGGGCAAGCGTCTCAGAGACCCAGGCTTCTCAGAGACCCAGACGAAAATCCAAGTCCTGTGATAACAACCTTCTGGTCCTACTCTCTTTCCTTTGGCTTTTAACTGCGAGGACTACTTTGAGTTTTCCAATGTCTGGCAGGCTAAGGAATGAAGATAAGTGTGAACTAGCAGAAGCTGGTCAGAGGTAAGATTATTTATTTTACGACTTGGGACAAATTGCTTGGAGAAGGGGAAAGAAGATGTTTTGTTACATGGTTTTTGAGAGTGTTTTTATTAAAGGCTTAACAGCTAAATAAACATAATTTACCATTTGAATTTGCCTACAAACTGGAAGGCACCTTTGAACTTGGTGGAATCAACACAGAAGGCATGGTTTTGGCAAAGATACTGCTCCTTCATTCTCCCCTCTGGCTTCTATTTCAACAATACACATCATGCTGAAGGAGACTTTACTTTTAGTTTCAAAAGTATGATACTGCTGTAGAGTATGAAAGGAACACTAGAATAATTTTTTCCTTGTCAACATTTGTCTCAGTTACCATTAAAACTCAAGTTAGGAAATAAAAAAAATTGAAATAGAGTCTCACTGTGTAGTCTGTCTGGCCTCAAATGCATAGAGATCTTCCTGTCTCTGCCTCCCTAGTGTTAAAATTAAAAGCATGGGCCATCATGTCCAGTTAAGAAATATTTTTAAGGTAATTAAAAAATATTTGACTTGTTGGGTGATTTGTTGAAAGAAATTTTCTTCAAAATAAATGAAGTTTGTAATGCTGCTAGTAAATTTTGCCTAAGAATAATAATAGGAAACCATACAGAATTAGATTTTAGGGAATGGCTGATTGGAAGTATGCCAAATACAGTTGAGGAGCAGGGTACCTCTAAAAACTGGATTCTAAGCTAGGTATTTGAAACCTTAAACTTTAATATAGACAGAGGAGGCCCACAGCCAATGTGAGTCTAGTTAATAAATAGAGAGTCCACTACTTCCTAGCTGTAGGTTAGAGTAGGATATCATAAACAAAACCCAAAATTGTCTATAATAGAAAAGCTGAAAGAGAAGGGTCATAGAAAAGGAGAAATGAATGGAAAGTACATTAAATGGCAGAAACAAATACAGTTTATCAGCAGATATAATAGATACTTATTCTTAGAGCCAAAATGACAGTACTATATAATAACTGAAGCATTAGTAATGGAATTATTTTCTAAATATCGTTGAGAGTCTATAGCAGTGTCCTTCTTTGTTCGTTTCCAGAGGGAAGGGACTGGCAGGAAGTACTCCAATATCCTAATAAGTTTTTCTCCCAAGGCTTATTTCTACATGGATAAAGCATGCAAGTGCTTACCTCTGTGTTGATGGGTACTTTGGGAAACAGAGTGGCTGGTTCACTAGATGACCCACACTTGGGTCCTTTCACTCAGCTGATAGGTGGTGACTATCAGCCAGATACCATGTGGGTGTAGCTTGAGGAAAGTGGGCACAAGCAGTTATTGAAGAAAAGTTGTTAGATAAATCCCAAACACAATGGTTTCAAAAGGTGTTATATAAAAGGATGAAAAGAGGTATATGAATGCCAGGAAAGCACTATTTAGAACAAACAAACAAACAAAAAACATTGAAAGCAAAGAGTCATAACACATAAGAAATGGCTCAATTTGCTAAATAAACTGTAATATCTATTATAACATGGTCACAAGGATTAGAAAGCAAAAAAAATGACAGAACTGCAAATTGAAATAGACAGTCCTGTCAACACATGAGGGCATCTTAATTCACCTCTCCCAAGGAGAAACAAACTTAGACATTGCTTCAAGGAGAAACAAACTTAGACATTAACACACTCATCATCAAGATCATATTCTTTGAATACCACACCCATGAACTGAAGAATATATATTTCTCCTTTCTCTCCTTCCTGTCAAGGGGATCAAGCCAGGACCTCGTAGATGGTAGGAAGTGTTCTACTACTAAATAGTCTGGTTCTTTTATGTTCCTTGAAAATACTATTATATACCTTGTTCTTGGATTACTCTGATCCTAAAAATGTTATTGTTAAGTAGGAAATATTATTGCTGAGATATATGCTCTAGGGAAAAGGTAGCGACCAGTTTGAAAGCTTGTCCTCTATAAGCTTCTCTATTACTAATACTGTGTTATATGAAGCAAGCATTACCAAAATTATACTATTGGTTTTAATAGACATGCCACAATAGGTTTATTCTAACTTCTTGCTCCAGTAAGTTTTGACAAAGTGTATGAATTGTATCCATCTGTGTTTATTTATTAAACTCTATACTATCAAACTCTTCATTGTAGTTGGCCTCAAATGTGATTAAAAAAGGATTGTCAAGGAGTACATATGTGTGGAGTTTTGTTTTTATATACTAAATGTAGCTTGAATAAGTAGCAATCTTATGCTATACAGTGGTATAGCTGTCACTTTACATAATCTCTACAGTGGATGGTGAAAACACTTGTTACTCTTTTCTCACCCTAGACTAAGACATGACACAGGGTTCTTTTCTTTGGAGAAGAATTAATTATAATGAAAGGAGAAATTCCCATATTTCAGTAACACTTGGGGCAGTAGTGGTTTTTAGTTTACAGGATTTATTTCAAGTCTTTGGAGTATGCTAACTTTTTAGGCAGAAAAACTATACGGGAAAATCAAAATTACATAGTGTAGTTGGCCTAATTGTGAAATTGAAACTCACTGCATGATTTCTCCAGATGTCTCACAAATGGCATAGCACTTTTAAACAACACAAACTCATGTGATATGCAAGTAATAATTCCCATTTTACAAATGCAGGAAGCGAGAAACAGAAGTTAAACATCCCATGCCGAGTCAAGTTATGACAATACCTTCTTGCTTAGTTTTTCAATTACATTGGGATCTCGATTTTAAATAAATCTGTGGCTATGGGATATATCTTGCTATGTTGCTATGTTGGCAACATCGCTTTTGCCAAGACAGTTTAAGATCAAGTCTATTCTTTGTCTTCCAAGGCTCCTTGCCTGACTTTTTATGTATTGTGACTCATACCACATTTGTACCACATTCGATTTCCTCATTCCTGTACCTTCTGTGTGGATATAGTCTGAAGAAACTCCCAGTGGACGACAGCCGCTCTAGCCTTGTCATGGGTGAATGCCAGCTCAGGTTCTAGGAGGTCTCTAGCCCTGGACAGTATTTTGAACATCCTCCGTACATCTTTCTAAATGTCTTCTTAGCAGATCCCAAATTTGAGACAGCAGAAGAGGCAATTAAGAAGCCACAGTAAAGCAGCAACATATGGGCTTGTTTTGATTTCAGCTCTGCACTGCTGGTGCTTATCTTAGACCTAGTCTTTTGCTCTGTGAGTGGTGATTAAGGCACCTATAGCTCAGGTGTGGAGCATGCTGGGGCAGTCAGTGTTTATCACTGCTTTCAGAACACATGCTGTGGCATTCTGGAAAACAGGTCCTCCATCCTTCGTGGTGCCCTCTTAGCTCTCTAGCACGACACTCTAGGGGGGCTGCCACTGTGTGTTCAGAAGTTTAGTGTTTGGCTGTGCGTCAGTGACTGCGGCTGGAATGTGTTTCCCAGATGTGATGGCAACTGGCGCTTATCCTTGAGCTGTTTGGCAGAGCTGTTTAGCAGGTGCCTAAGTCTGAACATTCCTGAATCAGGAGGGGGCGGCTCTGGATTTCAGAGAGCAAGCACTATCCGGGCCACAGCTGGAGTGAGGCAGAAGCGGGAGGCTGCACTTGAGCTCTGAATTTGCAATGAATGGAAGTCGTGATGTGGGAACCCGGGGACAGGAGAAGTGCTTTTCCAGGACAGCAGCGGCGGGGACCGGTGCCCAGGACAGCAGGAGGGCAGGTCCCGCTCGCCGCGGGCCGCTGGGCCAGGTGCAGCCGCAGGGCGCGTCCCCGTGCGCCCCTTCCCCCTCCCGACGACTTCCTGGTTCACAGGAGGTGGCCGAGCCGCCGCCGCCGGCCGGGTCGCGGGAACCGGGAGGCGGGGGCGGGGGCGGCGTCGCCGCGGTGCTGTCCCCGCGAGGCCGCGGAGGGCGCCGTGGGCCGGCCGCCGCTCTGAGCAGCGCGTCCCAGGCGGCGTGCGGGCGTGCGGGCGCGGGGCGACGGCGGCCCCGCAGCGACATGTGACCATGGACCGCAGGACCAGGTGAGCGGCGGCGGGGCCCGGGCGTCCGCCACCCCGGGTGCGGCCTGCCCGGTACGGCGAGCTGCGCGGCGGTCGGCGCTAGGCCGCAAAGCCTGCCCGGCCCGCGACCCTGCTTCCCCGGGCCCCGGCCGGGCGGGCGGGCGGGCGGGCGAGCGGCTGGGTGGTTGTGCGAGCGGTTGTTATGAAACCGCTCGTCCGGCGTTAGGGTCGCCTCTGCTCCCTTCAGGGTGGTTTTCCAGGGTAGCCTGCGATGCTCTCCCTTCTTATGAAATGAAAGCGGCGTTTGTTTATACAGCCGCTCTGTGTGTGCTGCTTGCAGTGTGGTGGGTGCACCAAGGTGGTTCTTCATCTCTGGCCATTTTACTTCTGGGAGTAGGTAAAAAGCAATTTGAATAACGGTGGTGGCCCTGCTTCGAGGTGTCCTGGAGATGGGTGATTGCTGTTTTCCTTCTGAAACTTTACTTTGGGAAGAATTCCTGTCTTGTACCGCCCCTCCCCTTTCGCTCAACCTCACTCTGTGTGTTTGTGGTGCCACCGTGAAAGCCCCTTTAGATTGTACAGAGGTATAACCGACTCAGTGTTTAATTTTGCTACCCAGGACTAATTTTAAACATCTTATGGAAATAGCCTTAAGCAATTTAGAATACTTCCTTTAGTGTTTGACACCAAGGAGGGCAGGGTGAATAAAAAAAAAAGCATATTTTTTGACCAGTAATTGTATTATGAGGAGATTAAAAAAGTTAACTGGAGCCCATTTTATGCCCATGAAACAAATGGGGTGAGGAAGTGTTATTTTGTATTTCTCTCTGGTTCTAAATACATACACACACACATACATACATACATACATATATTTAGAAGTGAGAAGTAGCATTCATATCTTGAAGAAGGTATATACTAAAAAAAAGCCAAAGCCAATGTTCAAAGGCACTAGTTGTAGAAGTAACTGAAGTGTATGTCATCACTTTTTGCATTGTGATGTCTTTTCCTTTAATAGCTCCCCCTTGCCATCCCCTCCCATCAAAGTCAAACCCAAGGCTTCAGGCACTCACTCTAGGGCAGATACTGTGTACTGTGAGTTACGTCCCCAGACTTACCCTTACACCTTTTCATGGAAAGAGACCTTACAATAGCACATGTTTCTTTGCTTCAAATATCTCAGAAGATTCCAGTCCACTTCTTTTTTTTTTGAAATTTAATAAATAGGTTAGATGTGTGAGAAATTAGGGGCAAATAAAAGAAACCAAACTAGTAACTTCTAAAGGAAGTGAGGCAAACTTTCTGTACTTGGTGAGGGGTTTAATGAGGAGGCAAATGTCCAAATTCCTTAAAGAAAATAATTTTTGTTAGTTTTTGTTAGCTTGGAGTGTGTGAACAGCTTCCTACTTTAGACATGCTTAAGTACATTCAATAACACCTCAGGAAAAGCATGTGCAAAATACCCATCTTTGGCCCATTTTTCTATGGTAGTCTCTAGAACACCGCAGGTGGAGTCAGGATCTCACCCTTCACGCTTACAGCAGGTTCTTTGGAGAAAGCCGGGAGCCTGTGTTAGGAGAAGAGCCGTAGGGATGCACTGGTTTTCCGTTTTGGGTCAATAAGATGAGAACTACTACTCTCTAAGAAACTTTCATTTATGAATTTGATGTCTAATACTCACAGGATCCATTATAGGGAGGTTCATGGGGTACTTTGCCCTCAGATTCAAAGTCTGAACTTTAGCTCTTATCAAACCGATAAGGCATTCTCATTTGTATTTTCACTACATGGTCAGGGAGCCTCATAGAATCCACTGCGGCAGGAACAGGATTAGATCCAGAGTTCATTAAATATAGGGATGAGGTTCTTCCTTAGGGTGAAGAGACTCTGGGTTCCCTCATCAGCAGCACAAAAGCCCACATGTGCAGTGGCATACTTGTGTTGAAGCTGTATAGATCATGCTTATTTGCTGTGCAAAGTCAATGTAACACGATGCTTTTTATTTTAGGGAAAATCCAGAAAGAACTTTCGACTTGGTCTTGAAAGTGAAGTGTCATACCTCTGAAAATGAAGGTATGTGTGTTCTCTTCCTAATGTCCGTGAGTATGTCAGAACAAGTGTTAATGTTGTGTTCTGCTGGGGCGTGATTATATCAGGAACCTGATAGTGCCTGGTGTCTGTTCCAGGATCTCAAATTGCTGGTAATAAAATAGATCTGAGGTCTTTGCTCTGGGCTTGTAGAAGTCAGGGCTGTTATCAGTGCGCTTGGATTTCAGCTTACAGCTCAGGTTTGCTCCCTGGTGACAAACTGCCCTTGTTCATGGTAAGAGGAATGCTTTTTCATTTTCATGTCTGTGTTTGAAAAGTCAGCGCCATTAAAAAATACTGTAAATTCTCCTGCTAGTACTTCCGAAGGCCCTTCCGATGTTTCCAGAATGCACTGTGTAGCCTGTATAGGGCCTTCTGTTGGTTTTATTCCAGTTGCCCAGAACTTGGGGAGGTAAACATGTGCAATATGACTTACGACTTGGAAGGTTTTTGTTGTGGGTTCTATACAATTTTCCAGAAAACCAAATATTACTTTTTAAAGCATTGTAACTTCTTTTTTTGCCTTTGCTATAGTGTGTGTGTGTGTGTGTGTGTGTGTGTGTGTGTGTGTGTGTGTATTTGGTAGTGGAGTATCAGTCAAAGGAGCATGTTATTTTGCTTATTTTTTGCTTGCTATATCTTCATGGATGTTTTTAGTACATGGCTCATTAGCAGTATACTTAGGCCCTAAATGGCAAGGCCATTACATGTGGGGTTTTGTGGGGACCAGTTAGCCATCCTGAATCCTGAGCGGGAAGTGGCTGACACTCTTAGTCCTAAGATTAGTCAGCAATTACATACTCTTAAGTAATTTGGCACTGCACACCTTAAAATAGAGGAGCCCAGCCCAGCTGTGGTGAAATAGGCATGGCTAATTTTAGGTAGGAAATCACACACATTCTTGGCTCCAGAACTTCTGTGAGCTTCATTTCTGGTCTGTTGGGACTACAGCTCTGATCAAGTTCACCAGTTAGTAAGAAGAAATCCCAAGGTTCCAAGTAACCTCTTCTAATTAGAGAAATCATCTTTGTCATCCTCTCTGGTAGAGCTTGTTCATTTGTATACTCCTCAGGTGCAGACATATCCTCTGTGCCACTAGGGCATGCTATGACACACAGACAGACAGACAGACAGACACACACACACACACACACACACACACACACACACACGACGCACTGTGTGCACATTAGTTTTTCAGATCCCACTTAAATTGATAGTGTGTTTATGGTATGAGTTACCCTTAGAAGAACTCCACACTGTTTTCTCATTGGTATGTAAAGTGGTGCTCATCTGATGTGTTACACAGCAGGATGCATTCCATTGCACACATTTTAAATGTGTGTTCTTTGGGTCTCAAAGCAATCTTATAAAAGTATAGAAGTGCTTCGTGTAACAACTGGTCTGCGCACGTGTTAATGTGTGACTGTCCTGTAGGGCTCCATGGTTCTGTTCTTGCTTCTCCCTTCGCCCCTTCTGCTTTTTATGACTGCTTATTCCAGTGAACAGCTGCCTCTGGCTTCTTTTATTGCTGTCTCACCTTGCTGAAGCTGTAGAATCACTGCTTTCCGGAGACATCTTCACTTGTATTTTAGCAGTTTATACAGTCTAAGTTGGAAGTTGGAACTATCAGAAATGGACAAGATAAACAATTTTGGCTTCTCTTCAAGCTGACCATTCCACTCTTTTTGTGTGTGATGATGTGTGTGCGTATTAGTGTGTGTGTCCCTCTGTGTGAGTGACAACACACACTTGCCATGGTGTCTATGTAGAGGTCAGCTGAGACCTTGTTTGAGATGGGTTTCTCTGTTGTTCGCAGCTACTGAGCAAACAGGCTGGCTGGCTCTTGATTTCTGGGAGACTTGCTTGTCTCCAGCCTCCCCTTGATGCTGGGATTGCGTACGTGCACTACCTTAACTGAGCTTGGGTTCTGGGGATCCGAACTTAGGTCTCAACATTTGTGAGGCAAGCACTTTACCCACTGAACCATCTCTCTGGCTCAGAGAATTGTCAAGACTGCCTCAGATCAAGGTTTCCTTTTGTCACCCCTTCCCAGTTTGGACATCCTTGGGGGACTGAATTTAGTACCACGTGTTTGTTGTACGGAAGCCTGAACACTGACTGGGGCCTTAGCTTTAGAGTGTCCACTCTAGCTTACCACCTGACAACAAATTCTAAAGATCTAAAACTTTTTTTCCTCATTTATTTTTTCTGGGACTGTTCCTCACTGCTGCAACCAGGCCGGACTCAGACTTGTAGTCTCCTCACTTTATCTTCTTGAGTGCTGGGATTGGGCTGTGTCATTCCACCTGTCAATCACTGTGATAGAGTCGGGGTCAGATTTTGGCTTGTGTGTGGGGTATGTACTATCACTGTGATAGACTTGGAGAGTAAGCCCTGTAAATTAGGATGCTTTTACAAATGTAAAATCGACTCTAAGACTAAGGATATTTGATAGTCCACGTTAGAGTAATGCCATTGGGTTAGTCATCAGCTCTTATGAAATTCCAAATCCCTGTCATTCGAAGACTTAGATATCTTGTGGTTTCAAGATGGCTATCCCTAGACTTTGGAAACCTGCCTGATTGAATATGACTGCAGGTGGAGGAGCAGCCTTTGGCTTTTCGTGACTCTTTCTTTAGAGCCAGCTATTTGTCAGTGGCCGGAGTTGTCATGGAAGGACATTGTTGACCCTGTAGAGATGGAGGGCTGTGGTGGGGGTATTGTGATTGGGCATTCGCTGTCAAGGAGTAGATGTGAGGAGGATAGTAAAGTATTCTTTCTAGAGGGTTGTTATGAGCATCACTTTCTTCTTTTGATGGCATACGGAAAAGGTGTCTTTAATCTTCATGTTAAAATATTTGATGATTCTCACTCATTATTTTCATAGAGAGCTTAAAATCTTTCATAAGTATCGTATGTATTGTCAGAAATAAGATTAACAGTTTTTTTCTCTTCGTGTGAGTGTTTGTGTATTTGGGTGCCAATAGAGACTAGAAGAGGTGGTGTATCCAGAGCTGGAGTTACAGGTAACTGGGAACCACCTAACCTTGGTGCTGGGGACTGAACTTCAGTCTTTTGAAAGAGCAGCAAGAGATTCTAGTTGCTGACCCTTCTTACCAGTTCCCAGAAATAAGTTATTAACTGAGTTCATTTGGAAATGAACTAGAGTTTGACATTGCAGATATTCATCTACTCTTTTGCTGTCTGGACTTGTTTCAAGGCATTTCATTAATATTCCTGAACATAACATATTAAAAAATTATTTAGCTTTAACTCTGAGATATCATCTTACTCCTGTCAGAATGGCTAAAATCAAAGACACCAATGACAGTTTGTGCTGGAGAGGATGTGGAGGAAGGGGAACACTTCTCCACTGCTGGTGGGAATGCCAACTCGTACAGCCACTGTGGAAATCGGTATGGAGATTCCTCAGGAAAATGGAACTCGGTATACCACAAGACCCAGCAATTCCACTCTTAGGCATATACCCAAAAGATGCCCATTCACACAAGGATGTTTGTTCCACTATGTTCATAGCAGCATTATATGTAATAACTAGATCCTAGAAGCAACCTAGATGCCTCACAACTGAAGAGTAGATAGAGAAAATGTGGTACATTTACACAATGGAGTACTACTCAGTGGAAAAAATATAATGGAATTTTCAGACAAATGGAAGGCACTAGAGGAAACCATCCTGAGTGAGGTAACCCAGACACAAAAAGACAGACATGTTATGCACTCACTCATATATGGATTTTAGATATGGATCAGGGGAATGTCAGCCTACAATCCCAGTTCCAGTGAGCCTGGGAAACAGGGAGGTTCCCAAGAGAGATGCATGATACCCCAGAGAAGTGGAATGAGGCAAGATCTCCTGAGCAGATTGGGAACATTGTGGGAGGGGAGAGGGAACCAGGAAAAAGAGAGGGGGATAAGATGAGGAGAGAAGAAGGCATGGGGGAGCAGGAAGGTTGAGTCGAGGTAAGAATAGAGGAGAGCAGGGTAAGAGATACCATAATAGATAGAGCCATTATAGGCTTGAGGAGAGAGCTGACACTAGTGAGATCTCCAGAGGTCTACAAGGATAACACCAACTGGCAAACTAAGCAATAGTGGGGAGACTACATTGACAGCCCCTCCTTGATGATAAGGTTGATGTCTACCCTATATGCCATCCTAGAACCGTCATCCAGTGACTGATGGAAGCAGAGACAGATACCCATAGCTAAACACTGAACTGAACTCCTGGAACCTAGTGACAGAGATGGAGGAGTGATGAGCAAAGGGGTCAAGACCATGATGGTGAAACCCACAAAGACAGCTGACTGGATAAGGGGGAGCTCTTGAACCCCAGACTGATGGCTGAGAAGCCAACAGGGGACTGATACAGACTCCATGAATGTAGTACCAGTGAGTAGGCCTCAGAAGTCACTGGGGCCTTGGGTAGTAGATCAGTGTTTACCATGGTGTATAAATGATCTTTGGGTGCCCATTCCAAATAGAGGGATGCTCTTTCAGCCTGGACACATGGGGAAGGGCAGGTCCCCTGCCCTGGATGAAATGACTGACTTTGGAGATCCCCCAAGGAGGGCCTCACACTCCCTGGGGAATGATGTGGGGATGGGTGGGTGATGGGGAGGGCCTGGTGGAGGAACAAGGGAGGAGGGGTAGGAGAGGGAGCTGGGATTGACATGTGAAGCATTCATGTTTCTAATTTAAATAAAAACATATATTGAGGAAAAAATACAAAAAAATTATTTAGCTTTATTTTATCTGCATTGGTGTAAAGGTGTCAGATCCCCTGAAATTGGAGTTATAGACAATTGTGAGCTGCCATGTGCTGGGAATTGAACCCAGGAAGAGCAGTCAGTGCTCTTAACCATTGAGCCATCTTTCCAACCACTATAATACATTTTAGAATACTGAAAAGTAAGTTAGTTTTGTTTGGAGTCCCCTACAGATTTGAAGTTTTCTGTGAG